TGGCAGGAGCGGGCAGCCGGCAGCACCCCCAGGCCAGGTGCTGCTCCCTCCTGGGGGACCCTCAGTGCATTTTTGGGGTGCGAGAGCTCCCAGAAGCGGCCCCTCTCCTTGGCATTGGGCAGAACAACCAGTGCGGTGCTGCAGGGGAGCTGGCGTGCATTTGAGGAGTATATTTAGCTCTCCCAAGGCTTCCTCCCACACTTGTCCCTCCTCGAAACACCGTCATCACCCGTTCAAGCCTTTGCCACAGCCCTGAGGTGCTGGTGGGACGGAGGCAGGTTTCACCCAGGGTGAATCCCAGATCCCTCCATCCCAGCACCACTGAAGAAGACTTCTCCTTCCCTCAGGCAGCTGTGCCTTCAAACCATGATTTACTCCGTCTGTATCTCCCCAGCCATTTCTCAGTGCCGTGCCCACACCGAGAGCTGTTATCTGGGCACTTAGGATGATTTCTTGTTTGGCTCTGTCACAGGATGTGGTTTTTCCCGGGAGAAGGGGCAGGGAGCAGGCTGCCACGCTCCTGCCTGCCGGGAGCAGCCCCGGGCAGCGCCACCGGCCCTGGCCGGGTACCATGCTGGCCACTGACACATCCTTGACAGCCTCGGCAGTGCCTGCACTCCCAGCCCCTTGGGGCCCATCAGCCAAGCTTGTGCCAAATGCAGCCCCTATACCCTCCCTGCATACAAACGCAGCCCCTATATCATCCCTGAGCACTAATGGAGCCCCCATATCATCCCTGTGAACAAACACAGCCCCTATACCATCCCTGCAAACAAACACAGTCCCTATATCCTCCCTGTGCACAAATGCAGCCCCTATACCTTCCCTGTGCATGAACGTAGCCTCTACACTCTCCTCATGCGGAGTGATGAGCTGTTGCTCATCGGATGGGAGGCTCCGTGTCCATGGCTGGGATGGCTCCTGTCCCCCTTGGTCGAGGCCAGAGCTGCCAGACCCCCCCAAGACATCCCCGTCCCTGTCCCCATCTCATCCCTGTCCCCATCGGGGTGAGCCCAGCCCCGCCCCACCAGCGAGTGATTGCAGATTTAATTAAAAACGGCACAGTAAATAAAACACATATAGGATGTAATTTGTGTGTGTAGCGAGGGGTGACGGTGGAGGGCGTCTCCTCAGTGGTTTAATTAGCATGCCAGGCAGCGACAGTGCCTTTCCGCCGGGTCCCACTGGGGAGATGCTCCCTGCCTGCGGCTCTGCAGGGACTGGCCACGCTTGCCGGTATCCCCATGCCCGCACCCCAAACCTGCTCTCTGGGGTGCAGTGGCTGAGCACCCTGCCCTGCACCCCAGCTTTTTGGAGCACCCCGGCGTGGCCGGGCATGGTCTGATCCCTGTGCTCATGCACCGCTGTACCCATGGCTGCGGCCCCTTT